TGCCCACGCCTGGGCAGAAATCACCACCGATGCCTGGGTTCTAAAAATAGTCAGAAATGGCTATACCATCCCCTTCCTGGGCTCGCCCCCTTCCAACCCGCCCGCCCCGTCCCTTTTCAGGGACACCTCTCACGAAGGCATCCTCCGTCAGGAGGTGTTAGCGTGCCTCGAAAAGGGAGCCGTGAAGAAGGTCCCCTCACATCTGCAGGGCAAGGGGCTTTGCTCCCGGTATTTCGTTGTCCCAAAACCCAAAGGTTGGGTTCATCCCATCTTAGGAACTGCAACAAGACGGTGGTGAAATCTAAGTTCAGAATGGTAACCCTGGCCTCTGTTAGCCTGGTTTTACCGTTAGGAGACTGGTACACAGCTCTCGATCTCAAGGACGCTTACTTCCATATGGCAATAAGACCCAGCCACAGGAGGTTTCTCCTTTTTATTGTTTCCCGATGTCACTTCCAATTTACAGTGCTCCCATTTGGCCTTTCAACAGCACCCAGGATCTTTATAAAATGCATGGCGGTCATAGCGGCGTTCCTCCGCAAAAAAGGGATACACATCTTTCCGTACATAGATTCGTGGTCGTTCCTACGGCTAAGTGGAGGCCCAGGTTTCCCTCACAAGGGCCCTGTTCGTAAGGCTGGTGCTCATGCTAAACGAGGAAAAGTCATCGTTGACTCCCTGCCAGCACCTTGAATTCGTAGGTGCCCTCCTGGATGCCAGGGTGGCGAGAGCACTCCTCCCAAGAACCAGGTTTTTGTCCATAGTGGAGCTGGTCTCCGAGTTAACCCGGTTCCCCATCACGACCGCCCGGGTCTGCTCGAGGCTGCTGGGACACATGGCAGCATGTACGTATGTGGTACGCCATGCTCGAATGAGACTCAGGCCTCTACAAGCCTGGTTTGGCAAGGGCATTCAACCAGTCCAGGGGTCTCTGGCACACGGTTCTCACAGTGCCTCCAGAGGTGATAGCCTCCTTACAATGGTGGACCCAGGAGGTGGTGGTGTGCAGCAGGGTTCTGTTCACTTCACCTCCTCCCTCGCTTACACTGGTCACAGATGCTTCGGACCTGGGTTGGGGGAGTGCACCTGGGCTACGTCTAGATTGGCATGATTTTCCGCAAATGCTTTTAACGGAAAAGTTTTCTGTTAAAAGCATTTGCGGAAAAGAACGTCTAGATTGGCACGGACGCTTTTCCACAAAAGCATTTTTTGCGGAAAAGCATCCGTGCCAACCTAGACGTGCTTTTCCGCAAAAAAGCCCCGATCTCCATTTTCGCGATCGGGGCTTTTTTGCGCAAAACAAATCTGAGCTGTCTACACTGGCCCTTTTGCCCGAACGAGAGCAGCATAGTATTTCCACAAGAAGCACTGATTTCTTACATGAGATCGTCAGTGTTCTTGCAGAAATTCAAGCTGCCAGTGAAGACAGCTGGCAAGTTTTTCCGCAAAAGCAGTCTAGACACAGCCCTGGGGTGTCACAGAACCCAGGGTTTGTGGTCCCCTGCAGAGCGGGCTCTGCAAATAAATGTCCGGGAGCTCAGGGCAGTCAGGAGAGCCTGCGAGACCTTCCTGTTGAAGCTCTCTCGCCGCTCTGTCCTAGTCCGCCTGGACAACAAGGCAGCTGTGTTTTACCTCAACAGGTGGGTGGAGCGCGGTCGCCTCCCTTCTGCTGTGAGGCTTTGTGGCTCTGGGACCTGTGCATAGCGCATGACATAGTTTTGCAGGCAGAGTACCTGCCAGGGTGCAAAAACTTGTTGGCCGATGCTCTGAGTGGGTCCTTTGGAGCCCACGAATGGTCTCTCAAGGATTCAGCCCTTCATCAGGTCTTCCACAGGTGGGCTTGTCCCTTAGTAGACCTGTTTGCCTCGGCATGCAACACCAAGTGCCAGAGTTACTGCTCCCTGTTGGGGCTGGGGGAACACTCCAGGGGGGATACCATGACCGTGCCATGGCCGGCGGGCACCTCTATGCTTTCCTTCAGTTTCCTCTAATTCCCAGGGTTCTGGCCGAGGTCAAGACCTTCAGGTCCCTGGTCATCCTGATTGCCTGGGCCACTGAGGGACTGTTCTGCTTCCCTATCCTGGTGGATATGCTCAGCGAGGAGCCTATAACGCTCCTGCCAGTTCGGGATCTCCTGATCCAACCTTGGGACAGGGGCCTCATAGTTCACCCGACTCTCAGCTCTTTCCACCTAACAGCCTGGTTTATCTGTGGCTGACCCAACCGGAAAGGGAATGTTCCCAGGAGGTACAGATGGTGCTCCTAAGTAGTAGGAAACCGTCTACCAGGCGGTCATACGCAGCCAAGTGGCGGCGGTTCTCGTCTTGGGCGTCCAGAAGGGGAGTGCACCCTTCCTGTGCACCTGTTCTGTCCATTCTGTGCTACCTCTTTGAATTTAGGTCCGGTGGCCTCTCTACCTCCTCTATCAAAGTCCATGTGGCATCTCTCTCTGCCTTCCATGTTGGTTCGGCAGGAGTCTCTCTGTTTTCTGATCTTATGGTCAGGTTAGCTGTGACATTATTGGACTCTGGTAGAAACATACATATGATTGTTGCAACCACTGTTATATATTTGCACCAATTCTTGTACAAAGTGTGTCAAGTCAGATGTTTATTAATAAAGGAAAGAGAAAAGGTTGAGAGTGAAATTGTTAAAGGAATCAAAGTACATCTACCAATGGCAGAGATCTTGATGCAGGCTTGTAGTGGAGATGAAATCAACCAGTCTCTGGAATACTTCCTTTGTTATGGGTGATCAGTCCTTTCAGGATTCAGTTCATAGCAGTGATCCTTCCTAGGTGATTTAGCCAGAATGAGGACCAAATGGAGGAGCCCTCAGTGCCCTCTTTATACCCTTGCTCATGTGGAGGGAATTCCATTGTTCTCCTTGTGTCCCAAGATGGAATTTGTCTGTGCATACTCCGTCCCTTTTTAGGTAGCAGCCGTTGCTTACATGCTGGTCTGAGCGCTCACAGCAAAGCTCATCAATGTGGATTGCCACCACCTGAGGTGCATTGTCAGCGAAGTGCTGCTGTTTGCTTGACTAGCCACCCTTTCACAGTAGGCTAGCCCAGCCCTCCTTTTGATGTCTCCCAGAAGTGCACATTTGAAATACAAGTACACAGCCAATGCTCTTAACTTCAGATATAAAAGTGATACATGCCTATGAATAGTATAAACAGGATTAGCAAATCAAAGCTTTTCATAGACATCTTACTTGGCCTACTTTGTACAAAATTTCGTACAAACATATAACAGTGGTTGCAACAATGATTTGTATGTTTCTACCAGAATCCAATAGCATCACACTAGTACCAGTGCCACTTCACCACAGCCAGCTGCTGTGGGATTGAAAGCCAAGCTGGATCGTGAGGGCTGGGGACAGCCACTCTTTTTGGGCAAGTGTGTGCTGCAGAGCCCTGTGTGGAGACATCTGTATGAGCATCTGAGCTAGACGACAGTCCATGGCCAGGATATCCACATCCTCAGATATAAAGCAGATTTCTGTGGCTTTGCTGGGCTTTAGTTAAAGCTAAACCAAGTCAGAGTGGAGATAAGCCAGAGAGCAATAACCATTGGAACAACTGGTTGTGGTGGATTCTCATTTTTAATTCAAGATGGGATGTTGTCTAAAACTGTGGTGCTCAGCCAGGGGTATGTGTACCCCTGGTTTACACAGAGATCTTCCAGGGGGTACATCAGCTTACCTAGATATGTGACCAATAGGGATGTTAGATATCATGTAATTGAATGGTTGTGTAACTGCATGAAATTTTAACAGTTACATGACTATTTGATGGTCCCCGGGATGGGTCTGGCAGCCAGTGTGCTCCCAGCCCTACTCTCGGGGAGCCCCCTGCCACTCTGCCCTGCAGCCAGTCTGCAAGGGAAGCTGGTTTCTAAACTGACTCCCCTCATGGAAATCATCTGCCTGCCACCTTGCGCTGCTGCCTCAATCTGTTTTCCCCAGCACACCTCTGACTGCCTCGCAGCACATGGAACATAGTTTACGAAACACTGCTCTATAAAGTGCCACTATTAGACAGCCCTCTCTCTAATCATTTCTGGCACAGGTGTTAAACACCATTCTCTCTCCCTTAAAAAAAAAAAAA